CCTGGCCAGCATGTTTGTTTACAAGTACCGTTTGCTTCTTTTTGCAACATCATCTGCGTAGTTCTAGCTATACCATGTATGAGTCAGCCGGTGCTCGTCTCATATACCTCAGTTTTAAATTGTAGCTCTTTTGTAAGTTATCGCTTTCTCTGCTTCCATCCTGTCTTCATTTCCCCACCATAAGAGCCTCTGCTTCGCTTTGCCACACAACTGGGGTGGGTTAGGGGGAGAGGCAGCCCTGGCCAGAACCACCTTGGATGTCTCTGCTTTGCTCCCCATCCTCCACCCCATATCTTAGAGGAAAAAAAACAACATTTTTTTTGTCTAATATTGCAGTAGCTAAACGTGTCAGAGAGAGAGAAGGGGGTGGGGGTGAAATGCTGCTCTCTGACAGATGTTCAAAGCCCCTGTTGACGTAGAAGCAAAAAGAAGAAATGAGCAGAATAGATGGAACCTCAACGGACTTGTTTCTAAGAGGAACAGACATATGTCCTCCTGGTAAGCTTCTCCTTGTGTCCTTTGAAACTTCAGTGTGGAATGGAGAGGGGGGAAGCCTTCAGACCCTGCCCCTCATTCAGGATTTCTCAAGTTGGAACTTGGAAAGCCCCTTTAAAATGCTGTAAGGACAAGGTAGGAGGATTGGGAAAACCTGAATGTGTAGATAATTAAGTAGAAGGCTAGAGACGATAAAGAAAAACAAAACAAAACAAAACAGATTCAGGCAATGGTGGGTTGGGATCGTTTAAAGTGGAGGAGGAAACAGAACACTTATGCATCTAATTGAACTTGGAATCAGGAGACCTGAGTTCTATCTTAACTGTGTTACGTGGAGCACGTCCTTTGTCCTTTCTTGGGCCTTTGGGAAAGGAAAAGATTGGATTAGAGGGAGGATTAGGATTAATTTTCATGTCACCTTGAAAATTCTCAAAAGATTTCCACATCGTTTAGTTAAATGCTGAAAGGAGTTGGCAAGAAATGCTGAAGACATAATACCTTTGCCCCACCTAGTAGATTATGAATCAGCTTTGTCCTGGGACATGTAACCATCCTGGAGAATTATAGGTCATCAGTTAAAAGATTCCCCACCCTTATCAAGCACAGTGACCTTGTACATTTGCACAGAAAGGAATGTTAACTAGCTTTAACAGAGCACAGCAATCTCATAAATGGTCATTGCATTGCATTTTGCCTGACAGTTTTGAAAAAACGAAGCCTGCATTAAAAATGATATCTACTATTTACAATTAGAAGTTAGAATAGAGCCTGACTTGGACACGAAATTCCAAAGAAGCTGCCAGAATCTGTCACCAAATGTCTTCTCTATCTACCGTGAGGTACCTGAAATACTAACATTCATGCTTCTGGTTTTGACCCTAAGGATTATAAATCTCAGTGGAGAAGGAACAGACAAAGCCAGCTGCTCCCTTCCCAACCTTTCTATCAATGAGAACACATTTCATACTATTTTTCTCCTCCTGGGCCCCATTTTTTGAAAGAACTGGTCTATCAAGCAAACTTTATTTATTAAATAATAGTAGTAATCTGTTTTCTAACTTTTTTTTAAATCCTCACCCAAGGATATTTTTTCCATTGATCTTCAGAGAGAGAGAGAGAGAATGGAAGAGAGGGAGGAAGGAGAGAGAGAAAGAGAGAGAGAGAGAGAGAGAGAGAGAGAGAGAGAGAAACATTGACTGGTTGCCTCCTACACACGCTCTGATCAGGCCAGGGATCGAACCTGCAACTGAGACACATGTCCATGATTGGGAATCAAACCTGAAACCCTGATCCACAGTCTGACACTCTAACCACCGAGAAAAACTGACCAGATCTGTATTCCCAATTTTTACCAGTAAAATCTTTATCAATGATATCTACTTGCTTCTCTGAATTTCTTTCATGACATCACCACTACCCAGGTGATGTAAATCCACCTAAAAGCAAAGAAACCTGCTACCTTAGTTAACCTGTGCAGGCTTTTCGAGGTTAATAATATAATCGTTGACATTAGGCTTTTTGAATCATTGAAAACAGCTTACAAACCTCTTTCCTCACCAACTTTACCTTTGTCATCACCATCATCATGATTACTTTCCTGAACCTATTGGCCAGGGGTCAACCTGGTGTTGATTTGGTCTTTTATCGTCTCTTGGATATTTTTGTGACGCAGCTCTGGTAGTGTTCACTTAGAGTCTCCTCTCCCCCAAGACTCAGGCATGATCGCAAGGAACCAAGTCAGAATACAGTCAGTTGTTCTGTGCTGAGGACTTTAACTGCAACTTGATCTTGTCAACAACACTATGAGGTAGTCATGACTGTCCCAACTTTGGCGAAGCGAATACTTGGTCTCAGAATGCTTCACTAATTCATGGAGAGTGACGAAACTGGGGTTCACACCAGGCTAATCCAAAGCCTGGGGGCTGGAGTAGGTGAGAAGGTATCCCAGAAGGGGCAAAAGTTGAATAATAAAGACAAGTTTCCCCTCTCTCAAAATTTGCCCAGAGTGAGATCAGCACTAATCCTATTTCTAGTGACCTGCAGAGATTTGTTTTAGTAAGTAAAGAGGAATCTTAAATAATCCTAGTTGAAGAGCGTTTTTGAAATGTTACAACACTCCTCGAGCTAATTTGAAATATCTGAAGTGTTGAAGAATTCAGAGCTGAGAATTACTGCCCTAAATATTTCCTTGTCCTTCTGCTGATGATAATCAACAAAGGGATTGCGTTGATAATTTCTTCTTGTTGCAACAACCTTACAAGGTGGGTGTTGGAACCCCATTTCATAGATGACGAAATTGAGGAGCAGAGAAACAAAAGAACTTGCTCGAACTCACACAACTACTATGAGGGGCAAGTGGGATTCAAACCCAGGGCAGCCTTACCCTGCAGTCTCTGCTCCTTCCTCTACTGCACTGTCCTGGGGTGAGGGGATGGGGATAAAAGTTCTGGAATGTGATTGAGGGCATCTTACTGCTTTAGAGGTTTGGGGGCTGTGGCAGAGATGTTTATCAGTCACTGAATATCCTTGTTTCCTGTCTCCTCCAGTCCACGTGACTAGTTCTGGTGAAGGGGCTATGGACAGAACTAATGGTGTCACTCTGGGCAAAGCAAAGCAAAATGGGTGCATGTTCTTTAGGTGTGTTCTTCCCCTGACAGGGCAACCATGGAGAGATACTGGAGCAGAACAGAGCTACCTGTTCACATGAAAGTGAGAAATAGTCCCTTGTATAAGCCACTAGATCTTAGGGTTAACCTGCTACTGCAACATAAGTTAGCCTATCCTGACTAATGCATGTATTTTCATTATAATAAAAATGCAGGAGAAAATTTCATCTAGTTTCATGAAAGAATGCTTAATTTCAGGGGCAAGTTTATGATAACCTCAGGGACCTTGAGTCATATAAAATGCTGAATAACCTGCAATAAAATTATGTTTTCCCCTTTGGATACACATATCTATTGATAACATAGCTTTTAAAAGTAGGGCCTAGTAGTGTAAGCCAGAAAAATTAATTTGTCTCATTTTATTAAAAAGTTATACTTAATTTGCCTGGCTGGTGTGGCTCAGTGGTTGAACATCGAACTATAAACCAGGAGGTCGTGGTTCAATTCCTGTGCAGCACACATGCCCAGATTGAGGGCTTGATCCCCAGTGGGGGGCATGCAGGAGGCAGCTGATCAATGATTCTCTCTCATCATTGATGTTTCTATCTCACCCTCTCCCTTCTTCTCTAAAATCAATAAAAAAAATTTAAAATTATACTTAATCTCATGCCAGTGACGATAGAAAACAAAATCTATATATTAATCACAAATTCCTTAACACTCATGTAATCTTTTCTCAAGAGCCTATCTCTGCAATATCAAAGTTGTTATATAACAAACAATTTACATCATGGGTAGTTTCCATTTACCTAGTACTGGAAAATCTGGAGGATGCTACTGGGAATTCCCCAAAACCCGAGTTTTCAGAGAATTGTGTAGATATTAAGAAAATAATTGGAGACCTGGTGTTCCTTCCAATAGATTCCTACAGCGAGGTGTGGCTGCAGAAACTAATGAATTATTTGTCTTTATTTCTGTAAAGGCTCTTACAGCAACAATGGTGTCAGCTTCTATTTAAATACTTATTAACAACAATCTCTTACATTCTGATGTTACCTTAGAGTTTATGAAACA